GACTCCGGCGGGAACCCCTGATCCAACAAGGGCTACTAACCAACCAACCAGGGAGCCATATGGCCGAGCAATCACCACGTCCAGTAGCAGGTCACTACCCGCACGCCGGCCATAAAGCAATTAGCCACAAGCGAGCAACCATCCTCGATAGGGACAAGTCATTTATTGGCATAGGCAGGCAGCAGCATAGCGACTCTATCCCACAAATACTGCAACAATAGGATGCAAATAGCACTTAGGCCGCCGCCTTTTTCACAATTGGATCAAGAGAATTTGCTACTTATTAAGATTGGTTCTGCTGGTGTCGTTCTGGCAGGCATTATGAACAGCATTTAACAATGACGTTCAGAAAGTGTTGGGTGTGTCTCTTTTACCAGCTACAGTTCGGCCTATGGGTTAATTCAATAAGAGTGATCCTATTTCACTTCTGAAATAAAAAATGGTATTCAGCTCATCTATCGTCATTGAGTCAAACATTGCGCTGGCTGTCTACTTATTCGGGTAGCTGGCTGTGCGATGGGGTTCCATGTACGATGGTTGTGAAGATACAGAAAATGGTTTTACAGGTTAAATAACCAGGGCGATCAGGCCCTTGTAGGAATTCCTCCCGTGACACATGGGCCATGGTCGCTTTAATCGGGCTCGATTTCAAAATACAGCCCATTTTAGTAGAAAAAAGTCTGACGAAAATGGTTAGGAAACTGACTAATTTCCTAGTCAACCGCACAAATGTTGGTATTTTTAGCATGACAGTTCTAATCTATTCGAGCAGTGGCCCTGTAACAAAGAAAGGCAATTAATATTTGAATACCACCGGGCCGACGGTGTCAACTACTCGTCTGGTAGACGGCAGTGTATACCATTCCGTGAGAGTTGTTACTCATCTTTAAAACGGCAAACTGTGTCAAATCTTAGCACATTTGATGACATACAATGGTTGGAACGGTAGTTTGTGTTCGAAATTTTGTTTTAAATATTCATTCTACGTCTTCAAAAACTACTGAAAGGTAGACCTTTCCGGAATCATGTCCTTATTCCTCTGAGCTTTCGAACCTCAACTGGATTCCATCATCAGAGATAAAAGCGGCAACAAAACAAGCAACAATTATAGGGATTAGAGGCCAAGGAAACACCCGTAACGTCATTTCGAAGCTGACTGCGTAGGGCTCCGTTTTCCCGCGCCAGATCGATATATCGATTGACTGAGTTTGCATTGGAGGTCCGGGCCTCAATAAACTCCCGACGTGGCGTAGACAAAAAAAGATATAATTCCGACGATCGAAGGACTCTCTCCCTCACTTATTCACACACCTAGGATGCGAACAGGCGCCTCAATTCGTGATAAACTTCACTCAGAATGCAAGGTATAATTACCTTTTCGCGATGTGTAGCAAGAAGGCTCCGTGAAACTATCAGGGGGCAACCTCGGACATCCTTCACTTGGAGTGCGACCTTGGCTTTGACCTCTGGCAGGTTTGCAAGCTATAACAATTTTTCAAAGCAGTTTCGATAAAGACATCTTGCAAATACTAGAGTACTCAGAGTTAACAGCACATAAATGAGGAAAAACAGTTATAGAGATGGAGGTGACGGCTTGGACTAGTTGGTTTCTGCAGTCAGTAAGTCGTGCAGGTTCATAGACACCCGAGGAGGTGGAGTAAGGGTGCGGTCCCGCCACGAAGAAGTGGAGCGGAGAAATGTGAATTGACGGGAGGGAATGAAATCCAATACGCGATTTCAAAAAACAGGTCAGTCGGAAACAATACCGATCGATAGTGCACGTATTAAATAAGCAGCAACGCAAAAAAGGCACGAACCCGTGGATCGTGAATGAAGGAAACTCCTGTTTTCGCTCCCGGCGGAAGCTCACCGGTGACTGCGTATTTGAGGCATTCAATGATGGTCTAAGTTTGTATTAAATAACACACAAGCATCTACCGTCTTTCCGGTTCCGTTGGTGCCGAGGATAAGGGTAACGGGAGTGAAAAACTCGATCCTTTGAGGATTTTCGGGCCCGAAACTCCGAATACCCTGAATACTCATTTTCTCCAGTACAGACATGTTGATGTCTATGTCTGGAAGAAAAAAGAGAAGACATGTTAAACCCAGGAGTGGCAAATTTCGGGGAAACCTAATCACTGGGGAGTTACTACAGATAGGAGGTCACCAGGAAAGTCCATATTTTTGCATTTAGTAAAATCTTGTAATAAAAAGTGTGCTTCGGAATGAGATTGAAATTGTGTGGAGACACTGCAGTCTTTGGAAATGCCCAGAATGCGGTACCGATTCGTGATCCAAGTCCAGAGGAAAGACCAAATAGATCCAGATCTTCACCTTTGCAGTAGGGGTGGCAACGCACAGCGCTTAAAGACAAATTTCAAATAATCAGTAGAAGAGACTGTGTGAATGATTGTGCATGTTTTCGATGCGGTCATTGGTGAAAGCTTCCAAGGCAGACACTAAATGGCCTTAAGCTACAGTATGTAAGTGGATGTTAAGAGCGAAATATTGGACCGTGTTATCTAACCTGGAAATGGGATATCTCAAGCCGATCTAATCCCCTCATGAAAACTATTTAAAACTCCTGCAAAGTAGCCAAGACGGGTCGCGGTAATAACCTAAAGCAGAACTATTCACTGCCCAGTATGTTGCTTCGTAGCTTTGAGGGATGACACTAATGCAGTATCTTCCTGTTTTAAAGAACAAACAACTGCTTATGCAAAATTACCTCTTCAAGGTTGACTTTTCACATATTCGTGTTTTTTTTCTAGTGTGGTGGCTGTTTTTGTGCTCTGTTTGTTTTACTTATGCATTTTTTCTTGGCTCTTTGTTCATTTGTCCGTCTGCCGTTATTCACGTTCTGCGAACTGCCTAACCTCCGGCGGATCATTGAAGAAAGGCAGCAAAGTACTCAGGGTTCTTTGTATTTTCAGATTTAACCAAGAAGTCGGTGTTACTTTCAGAATGCGACAGTATTGGGTATGCGAGGCAGTAAAACCTTGGGTTTTGGTGCACAAATTTCGCTGGATATGGCCTCCTATAACAGCCCTAACAACTTTACCGCCTACATGTGGGTAAATTTGAGAGGGCAAAAATATCAGACTAAGGTGACTTTGCTTCATAAGGCAGAGTGGTGAGGCCCAAGAAAAACGGGTAGTTGCATGTCAGATCAAAAATAGGAATAAAATAGTTTTGAATGGATTAATTGCAGTTTTAGATGGAAGCCAAAGGACTCAAAATTGAGGGAAACTAATGCGGTGTTGCAATTTATTTCGGATTATTTTAAATCCGTTGCTGATGTCGGCCTTTCCCTGCCGAGAAGGTTTTGGGAAATTATGATTAAGAAAGGAGATATGAGACATAAAATGAATGAGCAATAGGAAAACAAATCTGTTAAATATTAGGGAAAAGGCCAAAATACCTGCAATATATTCTAGACTATAATGCAAGGGAGCCGAGAGTTTACGCGCGGAGGCAAATACGGTGTACAATACCCAGCTCCAACAAAAGATAGTCGTAAATAACATCGAA